AGAGAGAGAGAGGCAGAGGGAGAAGCAGGCTCCCCGCCGAGCAGGGAGCCCGATGCGGGACTCGATCCCAGGATGAGCCGAAGGCAGACGCTTAACCATCTGAGCCACCCAGGCACCCTGAGCCATTTTTTTATTGACGTGAAATTCATGTAACAGAAAATCATTTTTAAAGCGAACAGTTCCATGGCATTTAGCACACTCATAATGTTATGCAACCAGCACCTCTAACAGGTAGTATTTGAATCTTTTCATGGGCTTGTAGCATCTCAGAAAATATCTACTTGGGACTTTGACTGGGATTGCATTGCATTTCTAGGTTAATTTGTGGAGGAGAACAAATATTCATTGAGCACCAACTGGGTGGCAGGCATTGTAGGTGCTGGAGACTGGCCTTGAACCAAACAAGGCCCCCTCCCCCATGGAGGGAAGTGAGTGGAGGTAGGGTGAGGGGGCAGATGGTCAGCTACTAAACCCTACTAAACCAGTGCGTCGGTGTCAGATGGTGCTAAGTTCTGGGGACTAAGAACCAAAGGAGGAGGGATGGGCATGCTGGGTTAGGGGAAAGAAGGGTCACTGTCTTTATATATGATAATCTAAAGAGGCTTCCAGAACAGAGAGACATTCAAGTAGAGACCCAAAGGAAGTAGATGAACTGTGCAAGTATGTAAGTGGAGAGCATTCTGAGAAGAGCAGACAGCAAGTGCAAAGGCCCTGAGGCAGAAGTGTGTTCCAGAAACAGGAAGTCTGGAGGGAGTGTGGAGGGGGTGGTGCAGTGGTAAGAGATGATGTCAGGGGGTGGGGGTGGGGAAGCACAGAGTGAGTGTAATGAGATGGGTCCTTTGGGAGATTTCAGCAGAGAGGCGCATGCTCTGACTTAGGTTTTTAAGGGTCTTCCTGCAATGAAAAAAAAAAAAGCCCTCTTTAAGGAAGTGATTTATTTAACTGAAAGCTTCTGGCTCAGGACTATGTTTTCTCGTTTGTTTTGTTTTTGCCAAATTGGTTTAATAACAGCAGTGTCTAGGTACAGTTTGTTCTGAAGCAACAATTATGTTAATTTGTAATGCAGAATGAAAAACCATGCTGGGGAAGAAAGGGATCTTTCTGATACTTTTTTCTATTCTCATTACAGTGTGAAATTTCCACTTGGATGGAGTACTTTGGGTTACACGATTAAGTTTCTTCATTTATTCAAAAACGTATTTGCTATAGATGAATGTTCCCAGCCAGACAATCGCCAAGAGCCCAGCTGTAGAACCAGCCGAAAGGTCCATCATCGGATGAATGGATAAACCCGATGTGGCCCATCCGTACAATGGGGTATTACTCAGCCATAAAAAGGAATGAAGTCCTGTTACGCCACGGCGTGGATGAGCCTTGAAAATATCATGCTAAGTGAAAGGAGCAGAAGGTCAGGTATCATATGATTCCATTCATATGCCATGGCCAGAATAGGTAAAGCTGTAGGGGCAGAAAGAGAGTGGTTGCGGGGGGCTGGGGGAAAGAGGGATATGGGTGGGTAGCTAGAGGCTATGGGGTTTCTCCTTGAGGGCTGAAATGCCCTACATTTCCTTGCAGTGCTCACTGCACAAAATCTGCAAATATACTAAAACCAACCAAATTATACATATAAGTGGGTGAATTCTAGGGTATGTGGCTTGTCGTGGGCTGAGTCGTGTCCCCTCCAAACTTCTGTGTGGAAGCCCCAGTCCTCTGTACCTCAAAACATGACTGTATTTAGGGATGGGGCCTTTATTATTTATTTTTAATTTTTAAAATTCTGACAGGGCCTTTAAGGAGGTGATTCAGTAAGCCATTTGGGTGGGCCCTGATCCAATATGTCTGGTGTCCTTCCAGGCAAAGGAAATTTGGATACACACAGTGGCCTCATGGATGTGAATGTGGAGGGTCGACCACGTGAGGACACAGGGAGAAGGTGGCCACCTGCCAGCAGAGGAGGGAGGCCTCAGAGGGAACCAGTGGACTTGACCTTGGACTTCCAGTCTCCAGGACTGTGAGAAAAACATGTGTTTAAGCTCCGGAGTGTGGGGTATTTTGTTATGGTTGTCCTAGCAGGCTAAAATGTGTGTCATATCTCAAAAGCTGTTTTATTTATTTATTTATTTTTAAATTTTATTTATTTGACAGAGAGCATAAGCAGGGAGGAGGATCAGAGGGAGAGGGAGAAGCAGGCTCTCTGCCGAGCAGGAAGCCCGACGCAGGGCTCCATCCCAGCACCCTGGGATCATGACCTGAGTCGAAGGCAGATGCTCAACTGACTGAGCCTCCCAGGCTCCCTGCTCAGTGGGGAGTCTGCTCCTCCCTCTGTCCCACCCCCCAACTCATGCGCTCACTTGCTCTCTCTCTCTCTCTCTCAAAAATAAATAAAATCTAAAAATAATAAAAACTATTTGTTAGATTAGTTGCAGGTTCACAGCAAAATTAAGAGGAAAATACAGAGATTTTCCATATACCTCTTACCCCTCCCCGACATGCATAGCCCACATTATGGATATCCCGGTCAGAGTGGTACGTTTGTTACAGCTGAAGAACCTGCCCTGACCCATCATTATCACCTAAAGTCAAGGTGCACTCTTGGTGATGTACATTCTGTGGGTTTGGACAAGTCTGTAATGACGTGCGTCTATCATCATAGGATCAATTACAGTGTTCTCACTGCCCTAAAAATCCTCTGTGCGCTGCCTCTTCATCCCTCCCTCCAACTCTGGCAAGATTTTTTTACTGTCTTCACAGTTTTGCTTTACCAGAATGTCATAGAGTTAGGATCATACAATCTGTAGACTCTTCAGATCAGCTTCTTTCACTTGGTCAGATGCATTTCAGTTTCCTCCATACAGTTTCCGTGGCTTGATAGCTCATTTCTTATTAGCACTGAATAATATCCCATTGTCTGGATGTCCCGCAGTTATCCGTTTACTTACTGAAGGACATTTTGTTTGCTTCCAGGTCTTTGCAAATATTGATAAGACTGCTACAGACATCTGAGTGCAGGCTTTTGTGTGAACATAAGTTTTCAATACCTCTGGGTAAATACCAAGAAGCATGATTGCTGGATCGTATGGTAAGATAGTTTTTGTACGATAGTTTTGTATGATATGTTTAGTTTTGTCAGAAATCGCTAAACTGTCTTCCAGAGTGGCTGGACCATTTTGCATTCCCACCAGCAGTGAGTGAGAGCCCTGTTTGCTCCACAGCCTCGCCAGCATTCGGTGTTGTCAGTGTTTGGGTTTTTTAAGATGTTATTTATTTATCTGACAGAGAGACAGCGAGAGAGGGAACACAAGCAGGGGGAGTCGGAGAGGGAGAAGCAGGCTTCCCGCGGAGCAGGGAGCCCGATGCGGGGCTTGATCCCAGGACCCTGGGATCATGACCTGAGCTGAAGGCAGATGTTTAATGACTGAGCCATTCAGGTGCCCCTGGGATTTTTTGTTTGTTTGTTTGTTTTTTAAGATTTTATTTATTTATTTGAGAGAGAGAGAGCAAATGAGCGGGGAGAGAGGCCAGAGGGATAGGGAGAAGCTGAATCCCCACTGAGCAGGGAGCCCAACGTGGGACTCGATCCCAGGACCCTGGGATCGTGAGCTGAGCTGAAGGCAGACGCTTAACCCAATGAGCCACCCAGGCGTCCCCAGTGTTTGGGTCTTTAATAGGTGTGTGGTCATATCTTGTTTTAATTTGCAGTTCCCTGATGACAGATGATGTGGTGCATCTTTTCGTATGCTTATTTGCCATGTGAATATGTTTTGGAATTAGACAGTGGTTGCACAGCCTTGTGAATACGCTAAATGCCACCAAAGTTTACCTTTAAATGTACTATACGCCACTGAAGTGTAATTTTATGTTATGTGGATTTCATCTCAATAATAAAACCAAACCAAAAAAAAAGAAAAGGTGAAAGATGAATCAGCATATCTGTGTGCTGATGGGAATTATCTGGTTCAGAGGGAGCACTGTTGGGGTGGCTCCTCGCATAGGCAAGTGGGTTTGGGAGTGGGTGGCCGCCTGGCTTTGCCTGGGCTGGGGGCGTGTTGCTTACTCACAGCAGTGGAGGGAAGGCTCGGCTGGCATGTGGGTCTAGATGCAGGCTGGCAGACTGGTGGGGGTGATGACTATGGATGTGTCTTATTTTTTATTTTTTAAGATTCTTTTTATTTATTCATTTGAGACACAGAGATACAGAGAGAGAGAGAGAGAGCATGAGCAGGGGGAGAGGCAGAGGGAGAGGGAGAAGCAGGCTCCCCGCTGAGCCAGGAGCCCCATGCGGGGCTCGATTCCAGAACCCTGGGATCAGGGCCTGAGCCGAAGGCAGACGTTCAACCATCGGAGCCACCCAGGCGCCCCTGGGATGTGTCTTTCTGCTGGTTTCTATTTTCTTGGTGATGCCTCTGTTCTGCTGCGGGGTGGGGGAATGATGTCCCCATAAGGATGGGATGTCTGTGGCTTCTGCGCGTTTTGCCGGCGCCACCAAGATCGCAGCGAACTACCTGTAGGTGGTGCTCTCTCCCTTTACCATCCAGCCATGAGGCTCCTTTTCACCACGTGCTTACCTTGGTTCATTTCCCGGTTCTTCCCGGGCGTGGGGGGGGGGGGGGGGGCGGTGTCCAGTGTTTTCTTTTGTCTCTAACCTTCCTCGCTCGCTGTTCCATCAAGTGACCTTCAGCTTTGTGTTTTTCTTGTTGCAAAATATACACAGCATGGGGGCGCCTGGGTCGCGCTGTCAGTTAAGCATCTGCCTTGGGTTGAGGTCATGATCTAAGGGTCCTGGGATTGAGCCCCACGTGGGGCTCCCTGCTCAGCGGGGAGTCTGCGTCTTCCTCTTCCTCTGCCCGTCCCCTCCTCGTGCGTGCGCTCTCTAATAAATCTTTTTTTTTTTTTTTTAGATTTTATTTATTTATTTGAGAGAGAAAGAATGAGACAGAGAGAGAGCATGAGAGGGGGAGGGTCAGAGGGAGAAGCAGACTCCCTGCTGAGCAGGGAACCCGATGTGGGACTCGATCCCGGGACTCCAGGATCATGACCCGAGCCGAAGGCAGTCGCTTAACCAACTGAGCCACCCAGGCGCCCCTCTAATAAATCTTTTTAAAAATATATACATAACATGAAGTTTACCGTTTTAACCATTTTTAGGTGCACATTTCAGTGGCATGGTGTGCAACCATCACTACCGTCTACTTCCAGAACTCTTCCTCTTGCAAAACCGAGACTCTGTCCCCGTTAAACACTGACTTCCCACCCCCTGCCCCACCCCTGGCTCCCACCGTCTACTCTCTGTCTCTATGAATTTGACTCCTCTAGGAACCTCATAGAAATGGAATCATGCAGCATTTGGCTTTTTGTGCCTGGCTCATTTTACTTACATAGGGTCTTCAAGGTGTGTCCATGTTGTAGCAGGTGTCAGAATTTCTGTATGTTTTTTAATTTTTGAAAGGCTACCTTATTTCCTTCCACGTATTAGAAATGTAACAAGTCTTTTAAACTGTGCTAGTGTTTATCTTAAGCTGGTTTCTGCTTTCCTCGATGCTTTGCTGACAGACTTGCAAGGACGTTGTGTGGGCTGCCCCAGCCCTGGGTCTGTACCAGCCCTATCATGCACAGGTCTGAAGGTGTCGTGGCAAAAACAAGGGTCTTGTCAGAAACAAGCCTGTCAGCTGCCAGAGATAAATTACCCTGATTTTCTGAGGTTAACTCATCTGTGCTTTTCTGGCCAAATTGTCCTCTGGTCACGATGTCACCCTACCCCCCCCATCCTGCCCCATGGTGAGATTTGGATGGCAGTATTTTATTTAGGATTTCTGCTTCTAGGTGACAGTATTGAAGATTGGTGTCAATTTTCCTATCTTGGTCCATAGTCTTTCTTACCTGTTTTTATTTTTATCAAGGTGAAATATACATAAGAAAATTAACCCTTTGGGTGGCACCCGGGTGGCTCAGTAGGTTAAGCGCCCGACTCTTGATTTTGGCTCAGGTCATGACCTCAGGCTTGTGAGATGGAGCCCTGCTTTGGGCTCCGAGCTCAGTATGGAGTCTGCTTGAGATTCTCTCTTGCCCTCTGCCACTCCCTCTGCTTGTGCATGTGCACTCTTTCTCTCCCCCCACCCTCAAATAAATAAATAAATAGAATCTGGAAAAAAAGAAGAAAATTAACCCTTTGAAAGCAAACAGTTCAATGACACGTACGTAGTACATTCACAATGTCGTACAGCCACCACCTTTGTCTGGTTCCAGAACGTTCCCATCACCGCAAAAGGAAACCCCATACTCCTTAAGCAGTTGCTCCCCGCCCCGCTTCCTTTTTCCCTTGGTAACCACCAATCGGCCTGTGTCTCCATGGATTCGCCTATTGTGGAGATTTCATATGAACAGAATCATGCGATACGTCGCCGTGTGTGTCTGGCTTCTTTCCCTTAGCATCGTGTTTTTGAGGTGCGTCCACGCTGTACCCTCTCTGGTTTGGTTTGTGGGTTACACTATCCTCCGAAAGGAAAGCAGCTGTTCCCCTCCTCTTACTCTTTTTTCCTGTTCCTGGTTTCAACCTGCATCAGATGGGAATTATCTGCTACCTGAAGTGCCAATAAAATTTGATTGTAAAACCCTCTGGGTTCTGTCCTTTAGGGAGAGGTCCTTGTCCCCCCTTTATTTCCATGTCGGTCACATTTACGGATCTACTCAAGTTTTCTGATTCTTCTTGGTATGATTTTTTGCATTCTTTTTTTTTAATTTAAAACATGTATTTTGCATTATGTTTCCCCATAAATGTATTCATTTCATCTAGATCTTCAGATCTATTGGCTTATAGTTCTTTAGTTTTTTGTTTTTAAATATTTTATTTATTCATTTGAGAGAGAGAGAGAGAGACAGGGAACACAAGCAGGGGGAGAGGCAGAGGCAGACTCCCCGCTGAGCAAGGAGCCCAACGCAGGGGCTTGATCCCAGGACCCCAGGATCATGACCTGAGCCGAAGACAGATGCTTAACCGACTGAGCCACCCAGGTGCCCCTATAGTTCTTTAGTTTTGTTTCAGTTTTCTGTTTTGTTTTGTGTTTACCACCCCTCACCCACCACCCCTGCAGCCAGCAATCGGTTCTTTGTATCTGAATTTGGATTTTTTTTTTTATTCCACAAGTGAGGTCATGTGGTGTTTGTCTTTCTCTGTCTGACTTATCTCACTGAGCAGAATGCCCTCAAGGTCCATCCATGTTTTTGGAAATGACAGGATTTCCTTCTTTTTTGAGGTGAATCCTATTAGCTTGTATATATTCATTTTCTTTATGCATTTCCTCAAATGCATAAATACACTTAGATCCTTTCCCTGTCTTGGCTCTTGTGAATCATGCGGCAGTGAACCTGGGGGTGCGGACATCTTTTCATGACAGATTTTATTTCCTTTGGGTAAAATACCCAGAAGTGGTAGTTCTAGTTTTCATTTTTTGAGGACCCTCAGATACTCTTATCCTGTATACTGTTAGTTGCACCCATTTGCTTTCCCACCGGAAGATGCACAGGGATCTCCTTTCTCCCCGGCCCGATGCGATTGTTAACTTCTCATTGTTTTGATCTATAGTTGCTCTTAACTTCATGTATATTTTTATTTTTTTTAATTTTTTTATTTTTTATTTTTATTTTTTTAAAGATTTTATTTATTTATTTGTGAGAGAGAATGAGAGAGAGAGAGAGAGCATGAGGGGGGGGGAGGGTCAGAGGGAGAAGCAGACTCCCCGCCGAGCAGGGAGCCCGATGCGGGACTCGATCCCAGGACTCCAGGATCATGACCTGAGCCGAAGGCAGTTGCTCAACCAACTGAGCCACCCAGGTGCCCCAAATGCAGATTCTTTTTCTTTTTTTTTAAAGATTTTATTTATTTATTTGAGAGAGAGAATGAGAGTGCGAGAGAGAGAGAGCATGAGGGGGGGGGAGGGTCAGAGGGAGAAGCAGACTCCCCGCCGAGCAGGGAGCCCGATGCGGGACTCGATCCCAGGACTCCAGGATCACGACCTGAGCCGAAAGCAGTGGCTTAACCAACTGAGCCACCCAGGCACCCCTTCATGTATATTTTTAAAACTCTTCTCACTTGCCCCTGCTCGTTCTCTCCAAGTGTTTATCTCCTTAGTCTTCCCAAAGAGCCAGGGTTTGGTTTTTATTCTCGGCATTTTTGTTCCTTTGCCCTCTGTTTTGTTGATTCGTGCTTTAATCTGTGTTACTTCCTTGTTTTCTTGTGTCGGGTTTTCTCTATTGTGCACTTGCTGGCCTG